TTTTCCAATTGTTTCAAAATAGGTCCAAAACTGAAATAAGAAAAAAGTAACCTAAGTTAAGTAAAATACAATAATAAAATGACACAAAAACCTAGTAAAATGGCCCTTAATAAGTGCACAAAAATGCACTTATCACTGAACAAGCTATGGATCAAATCACCAAATCTTATTCTCTATCTAGGAGGTAGAACCCTATTTATTTCTTTGTCTATTATCCTTTTTCTTCTGATAAACCCTCATGATATTCTTCGTTTTCCTTATTTCACACGAAAAGGAGCTCATAGTAGTTGAAAGAGAACTTTGAATAGAGTCCTTTGAACTAGTGAATGGTGATTAATATTCTTTAAAGTGGGCATCAATAGTAGTGCTAGATTGCATTTAACAATGCAATTCTTTTTCTTTTCCCAATTTCAAAAGCAATTCTTTCTATTGCTGAGTGATGATCAATTATTGCTTAATTAAGCATATTTTGAAATGAGCTAAATAGGTTACATTGTTTAATAAACCAGTTAGATTTTTGGTGCTATGCAGAAGATGAAAACTATGAATTCTACCTTGTTAACAGCCAGTCGTGTTTACCCTGATTGCTCTGCCGTGGTGAAAAAGCTTCGTGCTATGACTTACAATGCTGAAGAGCAGGTGCAATCTCAGAAGATGCAAGAAACTTTTCTTGTAGGACTTCACTGCTTCTCTTTGAAGTTGACTGCTGAATACTTCACCCTAGAGCCTGAGAAACAGGTGCTCCCCAATATAGATAAATTGTAAGATCTGGAGCTCTATCATTTTGCAATTTTTTTGTAAACAATGTTTTGGCGTATTCAATTGTTGTGAAAATCATTTCAACTGCTAGCGTAAGCTGCCACCATTTTTCCAGCCCTTCCCCGGTTGATAGTGGTTACTGTTCTATTTTTTATATTTTCAGATTTCAACATAGGATCACTGAGATGCTAACAAGTTAAATTGAATTAGAAAATCACGGAGAGTGTCCTAAAATTGGAAAAAGGAAATTGATTTGGTGGAGAGAATATTACTTAGAAATAGAATGCTGTTAGGAACCCCTAACAAATATCTTCACCCCTAACAAATATCTTCTATGTTTTTGCATGTCTCTATCTTCTTATTATGAGTTTTTGTTGCCGAAGGACGTGCAACCAAATTTTGTTGATAGGATAGGCATACGACCTATGTTAGTGCAGTGTTGGACCAGACCTCCACAAGGCTTCCTCAAATAAAATGTATGTTTCAGTTTCAGACCCCTTTTATTAGACTTCTTTTTCTCTCTTAATAATTGTATATATACACATTTTTTTAACATCTAACTAAATTTCACTTGTATAGAATTTGATATTTCTATCTTTTACTTATATGTAGTCAATGTGCATGTGCCCAAGGACATAGTCAAATGCTCACCAAGGCTATGGCTTTGTGGAGTTGAGAAGTGAAGAAGAATGATTATGTATGTGTTACTTGTGCGAGCAAAACTGTTCATTCGGAATACAATATTTATTTGTCCAAGTTATTTTCTTATGAAATCCATGATTTTGATTATCCGCCCGCAGTTAAGGTTCTAAATATGATTAGATTGCACGGGGAAGGTTACATAATGAATATGGTATGTAAGTACATGTTCGTACTTCAGTTTGTCACCATTTTGTATGTTTTTGCAAATCCTAATATATTTTTTGTTATTGTAAAAATCACTGCAACATTGTAACTAAAATATGATTAATTTTTTTAATCAACTTGTTTTGTTTTTCAAGCATCTGAAGATAATGAAAGTGTTGATATGGGAGCTAACCTGTTCATCGGAAACTTTCATCCTGTAAGAAATTCAGGATGCTTCCTTTCATTATGTAGTTAGTTCAGATATTATATAAACATTAACACAGCACACACACTTCTCTTGAATAATTGATTTACCAGCAAATTGAAGCCAACATTTGAATTTCGGAGTTTATTAATTTGATTTTGATAGTTAATTGACA